GGATTAATCATGCAAAGCAGCCCAAAAGGCTTCTGGCTTTTTTAGGTACAGTATGTCCATGATGTAAAAAACTGCCACAGATCCTGCAGTGATTCTCTTCTGATATGATCCTTCTTAATCTTTCAGTTTTAGGTGGTTGGGACTAAAAATTAAAAGGAAACAAGGAGAAGTCTAATTTCCAGTGGAGAAACAAGGATCACTTTGCTGCCCTGCTATGTACTGTTGAAGGCAGTGGTGGGCTTGCAATGCCCTAAAGAGATTCTTCTTCTAGTTTTAGAGAAGCGATTGCGATGGTTTCCCTGATTGCTTCTCTGCCTGTCTGCTACCCTGGGAAGGCTTTTGTAAGGAGGAGAGAGGTGTGTTCAGTTCTATGAGAGACAGAGAAATACCCTTGGGCCAACTAAGAGGTGTAAGGGGGTATGCATAGGCATGTGTGTCTGTATGTGCATGGCTGGATCTAGACACATCAAAGAAGCAATTCAGTTAAACGCGTTGTAAACTCATACAGGGAAATCTGGTAGGGAAAGACGGGACTCCACAGCACCATCTGGAGTCACAGTGCTATATCACATATACAACGCATGTAAAACACTTTTTCTTTACCTATCTAGCTGAGCTGCATGTGTGAGCAACAGAAGGTGAGTCATGGATAGGCATTGTCAGCTTTGCTTGTGAGACATTGAATTCCCTCTCCATCCCTTCCTGCCATTTGTTTAGCCAAAGGTGGCTTGCTACTTTGTTCTCTCCCCGTCCTCCTTCAGTGAGATTCCCCTCCCACATTCAATCTTGTTAACAGCAATCAGAATGCAGTGCATCTGCTAGCCTGAGCCCAGTGCATGATCCTGTGTGCTTTGTTCCTCTGCTAGGACTTTCGGTAGATCAGGTTCCTTCCTCAAGGTTTTTTTGCTGGCTGCAATATGATATGTATCAGGAAGTCACATGCACATGGGCTAGGAAAGAAAAGCAAATTCTCTGCCTCTCCCATGGAAAATGCCTGTGTGTACTATCACTGTATAATTAGCTCTCTCCTTTTACTGCAGTAGGTTCAGTTAGCAAGATCCAAATAACACAGCATGTTGTAATCCTCCTCTTCTTCTTTGCAGTTCTGACATCAAAGGTGCAAAGGAGAGAAGAGACTCCTCCCCACGCTCCAACATGTGTCCAGTGAAAATAGGGATGTCCCATTCCATAATGATAATTTTACTATTTATATCCCACACACCTTACTGGGTTGGTCTAGCCTCTCTGGGCTTCTTCCAACATATATAAAAACATAATAAAACATTAAACTTTTTTTTAAAAAAAACCTTCCCTATACAGGATTGCCTTCAGACAGCTCGGGGGCCGGATAACTCCATACCATCCAACATTTCTACAATGAAAATAGGAACATCCTAAGGAAAAGTGGGACACTGCGGGATCAAATCAGAAACTGGGATGACTTCTCTAATCCAGGACGTATTTGGTATATGTGCTGCTGAAGCGAGCACTAATCCAGGACGTATTTGGAAAATAGGGACATTGGAGGGTCTGCCACTCTCCTTTGCCCCTCTGATAGCAGTGCAATGCTGTAGGGGGTTTGTAGAAGATAGTCCATTCCATTCCCAGGATCTCTCTTCCCTACTCCACTCAGAGCACACAATGTTCTCTGGCCATGGACCACATGCTTCAGTGAGCTGTTTCTGGGTTTTCCCCAAGTCACCTAGGTTTTTAAATTTATTTGTATTTCTACAAACCTTGGGGTTGTTGCATTGGAACGGCAGTAAGTTTTCTTCAATGGGCTTTTGGCCATTTAAACAGGTGCTTGTCTGACAGCAAGACAGGAATTTGTCCCCTGGTTCGCCTCTTGGAGTTTATCCATATACACTTCCTCTTAGAATCATAGAATCATAGAGTTGGAAGAGACCACAAGGGCCATCGAGTCCAACCCCCTGCCAAGCAGGAAACACCATCAGAGCACTCCTGACATATGGTTGTCAAGCCTCTGCTTAAAGACCTCCAAAGACGGAGACTCCACCACACTCCTTGGCAGCAAATTCCACTGTCGAACAGCTCTTACTGTCAGGAAGTTCTTCCTAATGTTTAGGTGGAATCTTCTCCCACTGCATTTCCCCTGGGGAAAACCACTTTAGTGCTCAGCTGGAGCAAACGGCAATCAGGTTTTCTGCTGATTACTGTTTGTTCTGATTTAGAGCTAAAGAGCAGGTTTTCCCTGGGAAAGGAGTGAGGCAAGGGGAAAATCACTTGGATCCATGCCTAGAAAGCATTGGTCAAATGGAAAACCACTCTGACATGTGCTTTCTAGTTATGGGACAAGCAGAAATGGTTAAAAAAACACACACACCCTAACAATCATTTGGCTATTTCCCATCAGGTTTCTATCCACTGAATCAGGGGGTGCTACTCATGTAAAGCTCTCAGAAAAAATCAAGAGAGATCTACAAAGGTCTAGGATCAGCACCTTACCTCTTGTTATCTGCCAAGCCAAGGGGTTAATCATGCAAAGCAGCCTCACAGAAATCTGGCTTTTGCAGTTATGTGCATGATGTTAAAAAGAATAAATAAATCTGCAGGTCCTGCAGTGGTTCTCCTCTGATATGATCCATGTCCCTGGCTTAGTCTTTCAGTTTGAGATGGTTGAGGCTAAATGTAAAGTGGAAACAAGGTGAACTCTGACTTCCAATGGAGAAACAAGGATTTTATAGTTAGTTTTTGAAGTCCTTTGAGATGCCAAAACAATATACAAGCTCGGTGGACCTAATTAAAATCTGAGTTGTCAAATACTGAGAAAATTCAAAACAGTAAATAGAATACAGTTCATAAATAGAGCATGACACTGAGAACCACCTTCTGTCCTCTATCCAAGGAGCTAAAGTTTGTTTTTTATCTAAAGATTTTTAGATAGGGTTTTTTTTTACAGTTCTGTGTTCCACTTCAGCTTGTGATGTTTCTGCATGTGTGTATGTGTGAATCTTTGCTGTAGTACCCTACTTAGCTTTCGTTAACATTAGTGGTTAATTCATTAGTAGTTATTTATATTAATTATTTTGTCTTGTTTTCCCATCCAACCTATTATCTGTTCGTTTCTCTGTCCTTTGCCAATTAATCATTCCATTCCTTAAAGTCAGTAAATCGGTAAATAAATAAGTAAACATTGTTAGTTGCCCGTGTTTTATCTTAGTTGGCTAGTGCACCCTCCACCCTCCATTTTGGCCGCAGTCTTAGTTGTTTGTTTCTTGTGTTTGTTCCATGTAAGTATCGCAAGGCCTCAGATGTGACCTCGGACCCTGCGTAGAACCAATGTCCGTGGCCCTGCCAGCATCTGAACACGACCTCCGGTAGAAACTGAAAATCTCATTGGAGGTCTCATGAGGCCTCGGATGTAACCTCCGAGACCCCGAAAGGCCTCGGAAGCACTGCTGTGCCACCAACACAACATGAAGTCATGAAGTCGTGACATCATGACGTCACGTTACATCACAGGCGTCATTGGGCACTCATAACCTAGGGGCTCAGGTCAGCACTCCTGTGTGTAGCTATGGTGCACAGTCAAAGGGGGCAGAGGGAGGTGCTGGCAATAGCAGCACCACTGACCAGATTGGTATGCCTCCAGTCAAAGCTAACCCATCCATCTCATTGTGGTGGTGGGAGCAAGCCACAGCCACATGACCAGTGGTAATGGGAGTTGTAGTCCAATAATATCTGGGCATTTTCCATCCCTGCTTTACATCAATTCCTCAAAAACAGTCCTCAAACTCAAAATTCTAAAAGAGCAATAAATGGAAAGATTTGCTATTCAAAAAAATAAATAAATCAGAATTGCATTCTGAAATTCTGCCAGATGTTGAAAAATGATAGTGTTGTATAGACAGTAAAATGCATGCAATATATAGGATTGGGCTGTGCACAAATAGCCTCTCAAATTTCTCTGCCATATTTCCGGATAGACAAATTGGGGGGTATTTTACTAAATTTCTGCAGGGACTCTCAGGGGCAGGGATCACAGTATCTCAGAAGTGGGGCTCAACTTTAGCAGTGGGAACAGCACAGCTTCTTTTCTTTTTTAATGAATTTAAAAATTGCTGCCACTGGAAATGGCAATAGCAATTGCAGCAGGCAGTGAGGCAGCACAGGCATGGTGGCACTGCTCACATGCCTTCCCAATGCCAAGTGTCACTGCCAGTTTCAGAGAGGGAGAGGGAGAAGATGACTCAGGCATGGGAAGCCAGTGCTTTGATGCCTCAGCACAGAGACAATTCAATGTTTTTGCTACTGTGGCTGCATCACCCCTTCACCCTCAACAGCAGAAGCAATACTCCATTAATGCCCAGTATTTGGAAAGCAGTAATTGTGCTGGGGACAATTATGGGGACGTGGGTGGCGCTGTGGGTTAAACCTCAGCACCTAGGACTTGCCGATCGTATGGTCGGCGGTTCAGATCCCCGTGGCGGGGTGCGCTCCCATCGTTCGGTCCCAGCGCCTGCCAACCTAGCAGTTCGAAAGCACCCCTGGGTGCAAGTAGATAAATAGGGACCGCTTACCAGCGGGAAGGTAAACGGCGTTCCATGTGCTGCACTGGCTCACCAGATGCAGCTTGTCACGCTGGCCACGTGACCCGGAAGTGTCTGCGGACAGCGCTGGCTCCCGACCTATAGAGTGAGATGAGCGCACAACCCTAGAGTCTGTCAAGACTGGCCCGTACGGGCAGGGGTACCTTTACCTTTTTAATTGTGCTGGCAGCCTGACCAACATCCTCACCACCACCGCAACACCTACCCACCCAGTTCCTCAAACCTACCTGGATTTGTCATTTATTTATTTATTTCACCAAGCTTTTATACCACTCAAAACAGAAAAAGAATATCAGAAATTGCCTTAGAAAAATCACAGCTCAGAAATTTAGGCTCAGCTCCAGTATCACCCATAGATAGGTTGTGAGAGGGCAGACAAATGCGCAGGACTGAGGAAAATCATAATAATCCTCACCATATGAATGTTTGCTACTGTGGCCTCTGGTGAAAGATTTTCTTACTCAGTCTTTTTTTCAGGGCTCTTTTCACCTCCTCGTTCCTCAGACTGTAGATGACGGGGTTCACCATGGGGATCACAATGGTGTAGAAGACGGACACAATCTTGTCTTGCTCCACTGCCTCAATGCCTCCAGGCTGCACATACATGAAGGTCAAGGACCCGTAATACAGTACAACGGCAGTCAGGTGTGAGGCACAGGTTGAGAAGGTCTTCTGTCTGCCTGTGGATGACCGCATCCTCAAGATGGCAGAGATGACATAAGCATAGGACACAAGAACAATAATTGCATTCCCTACCACAACAAAAGTGGAAAGGATGAAGAGTACAACCTTGGAAACATAGTTGTCTGAGCAGGAAAGCCGCAACAAAGGAGGGATGTCACAGTAGAAGGAACTGATTTCATTGGGACCACAGAAGGAGAGCCTAAAGACACCACTTGTGTGGACAATGGCAATAAAAAGTCCCACCAGGTAGCTCCCAGCCACAAGCTGAAGGCACACATTTCTGGCCATGGCAATAGGATAAACCAGTGGTTTGCAGATGGCAACAAAACGGTCATAAGCCATAGCAGCCAGAACGTAGCACTCTGTTGTAGCATAGAGGGTGAAGAACCACATCTGGGTCGCACATGCATTGTACGAAATCACCTTCCTATTTGTAAGGAGGTCCCACAACAGCCTGGGAATGATAGTGGAGGAGTAGCAAATGTCAATGAAGGACAGGTTGCTGAGGAAAAAGTACATTGGAGATTGCAAAACGGGATCTGTCTGGATTAACACAATCATACCCAGATTTCCCATCACTGTTAGGAGGTAGATTAGTAGAAAGAGCAAAAGCAAGAGTATCTCCACTTCAGAATGATCTGTGAATCCTAGAAGAATGAACTCAGACACCTGGGTTCTGTTCACCTCTTGCATTTGTGTGGCTATTCCCTCCCCCCCCCCACAGGTGGAATAAATGAAGACAACGGACACAGAGTTTTAGGTTAATGGGCGAAATTGGCCACAACTTTATTGATTACAGGAAAGAAGGGTATTGGCTTTAGGCATTGGCCCTAACCGACTATCCGGTCTGACCGGGAAGGGTTAAACACCAACAGGGGGAGCCACCCGAGATGCATATCCCTAGGCGCTCCCCGAGGGGTTACCGCTCGGGGGGGCGCTTTAGGCCCTAGCCTCCGTAGGTTTCGGACGAGGCGTCGCCCCTCGGAATCCTTTAACGAACTACCCTTCAAGCATTGGGGGAGGTGATGGCGTTCCTCCCCCCCAACCTCATCTGCATGACAATACCCCGGCCAATGCCTACCGCCAAAACCGAGGGAGTTGTGACGATTTGCTACGAGGTAGGCGAAAAAACCAAGTGGCTCACAAAACCAGCCAATTAGCCAAATGGAAAAACTCCTACCAGGCCCCTTGCGGCGACCAGCCGAAGCCCATAGCAAGGTCAGTGGCAGAACCTAAAGGGCGGGTGGGTGGGAAAACCGCGTCGTCTCCAGGGAAGAAAGGGGCGAGCCAAGGGCTGCCCCGACCTTAAGTGGCCTTACAAAGGCCCGCCCCTGCCGCCAGCCGATTGGCTGGCGCCACAGGGTATGTTAATTGAGGGAATCCCCTGTCTCCCGCGAGGCTGGCACCAGCCTCGCGAGAGCGAGTGTGGGTGGGGTCGTGATCCCACAACCCCCCCTCCTCCTGACGCTCGGAAGGGGCATTGTGTGGCTATTCCCTCCCCCCCCACAGGTGGAATAAATGAAGACAACGGACACAGAGTTTTAGGTTAATGGGCGAAATTGGCCACAACTTTATTGATTACAGGAAAGAAGGGTATTGGCTTTAGGCATTGGCCCTAACCGACTATCCGGTCTGACCGGGAAGGGTTAAACACCAACAGGGGGAGCCACCCGAGATGCATATCCCTAGGCGCTCCCCGAGGGGTTACCGCTCGGGGGCGCGCTTTAGGCCCTAGCCTCCGTAGGTTTCGGACGAGGCGTCGCCCCTCGGAGTCCTTTAACGAACTACCCTTCAAGCATTGGGGGAGGTGATGGCGTTCCTCCCCCCCAACCTCATCTGCATGACAATACCCCGGCCAATGCCTACCGCCACCGAGCCGCGAACCGGCTCGCCGCCAATACCCTCAGACCTGTAACCAATCCCTAACGCCTTGAAAGATATCAGCCAACCAAATATCATTGCCAGCATCCGATAGATGCACGCCATCCCAGCGATAAAGCATTTCCACGTCAAACCGTATGCGTGGGTGCTGAATAACCCGACCGCCCCATGCGGCCACTCTACGTGCCACCGTGCGCTCCACAATCCTCCTAGCCTTATTCACCGCCACAGGTTTCTCTGCATCCCGCCAACATCGCCTTTCCAGCAGGGATGACCACAATATTGTAATGTTCTCATGGGATGCCCTCAACCTTTCCAAGTCATTTATGATGTTCCACATCAAGTCCACCCCTTTCCTATACGCCAGGTCGTTCTCGCCCAGTTGGATGACCAAAGCGCTAGGTGGTCCCTCGGCCGCTATTTTTTTGGATACAGCTGGGAAAAACTCTTCCCAACGCATACCCCTCCTAGTAATCCATGACAATTTAACCCTGCTGGGTAGCCGTAACTCATTATCCCAGCCCTTTTGTTCGGCACGCTGCTTTGCCCAATAAACGATGCTGTGGCCGAGGATCCACAGTCGAACCACACCAGTACCTGAAATGAGAGAATCGGAAAACCAGATCAGAAGGAGAGCCGGGGGGGAAGCTGAGGGGGGAAAGTTGAGGGGATTTCAGAAGGGCTTACGGATGTAACCCCGGTAAGCGTTAGATTTCCAGCGCCCCATGTCCATAATTCTTTCAGCTGGTAGACCCATATGTGCGGCGGTGGTTGCCGCCCCAATGCGAAAGGAGTGCGCGGCGTACTCCTCCTGAGGAAGCCCGATGGCAGCAAGTGCCTTGCGCATGACCCTCGTGAACTGTTGTTTTGAGAGGGCTGAACCGTCAGAATGTACGAAAAAGGGGCCACTAGACTCCGGTCTTACGCACAGGTATTTTCTAGCATCCTTTACAGGGCAAGGGCCCGCCTTATGCGTCGCCTGCAGGCGAACCAAGGCGCCCCTGCCAAGCTGATCAGTCTTCGAGCTACGGATTTTTAACATCACCTGCGCCCTGTCCACAGTTACGTCCTCCAACAATAACCCTTTAGATGCTGTGCGGTCCTCACAGACCACTTCGCCTATGCGTAGGGCGCCAAAAAATGCGAAAGAAAACGCTGCTGAAAATAACCTGGCTTCATATCTTGACCAGCACAAGGCCCTCAACTTCCTACGGATTTGGGTAAGTATGTCTAAGGTTATGGGCCGTCTCCTGTCCCGGCCATGCGGCCTGGACCTGCGCCAACCCTCCAGCATCTTCCGCACCACGAAATGCGAACAGGGATCGGTGGAAAACAAAGTTTTGGAAAAGAAGGATATAGCAGCCGAATGAATATTGAGGGTTTTGGGGGCCCGGCCAAGATCTCTAAGGTGGACCAAATACTCAATGACTTGCGACTTGGATGGTGGCTTGCCAGGCTTGAACCGCTCCTTTTTGATGCGGAAGGATGTGAAGTCTAGCCATGCCTTATTATACGATCTCAGGGTAGAGGGCGCTAGCGCAGACAATACTCCCTTTATTGCTTCTCGTTGCCAATATTCCAGAGGTGCTCCGGGAATGGTTGCGGCTGCTGCTGCGCATCCGGCGCCAATGAGCGAAAGCGTTCCATCTGGAAACGAGATAACGCATCCGCGATGTTATTATCAATGCCAGGGACAAACTTGGCAGAAGCGTGAAGGTTCAAGCGCAAGCAGTTAAGGACAAAGTACCGTAAAAGGGACGCTACTCTAGGTGAGCGTGACGATTGTTTATTCAAGACTGACACGACCGCTAAATTGTCCGTCCAGAAACAAACCCTATGGTTCTTGAACTGGTCTTCCCATAAGTGAATTGCAACAACGATGGGAAAGAATTCTAAAAATGTCAGGTCACATAGTATCGGTTTGCCTTGCCAGGAAGGAGGCCAGTGCTGGGCACACCACTGCCCCCTGAAGTAGACCCCAAAACCTAAGGACCCAGCCGCATCCGAATGTACTTGAAAATCGGACTGCAGTGCCAAACTATCCTGCCAAAGCGATATGCCGTTGAAACCGTCCAGAAATTGCAGCCAAACAAGGAGGTCCGCCTTTACTGCCTTGGAAAGACGTACCCTATGATGGGGTGACCGTAAGCCCGCGGACAGCTTTGCTAGGCGGCCGCAAAAGGGGCGACCGGGGGAAATTACACGGCAGGCAAAGTTGAGGTGCCCCAATAGGGATTGAATTTGCCTCAAGGTGACCTTCTTTAGGGGCAGCATTTGGCCGATAAGCTCTCTTAAGGCGACCAATTTTTCCTCCGGTAAGCGCGAGGTCTGTGCTACGGTATCAAGTTCAATGCCCAGGTATGTCATGGTAGTGACCGGACCCTCGGTCTTCTCGCTTGCCAGAGGGACCCCCAGCTCCCTAGCTAAGGACTCGAAGGCCAGGAGGAGGGACCTGCACTCCCCTGCATCACTTGCCACCAAAATAAAATCATCGAGATAATGACCCACCCCTAAAGAGCCAGTTCTAAACTTAAGGGCCCATTCCAAGAATGTGCTGAAGGTCTCGAACGCAGCACAGGCTATAGAACAACCCATGGGCATAGCTTTGTCAATGAAGTAAGCTCCCTGGAATTTGAAACCCAACCAGCGGTAGTCTTCCGGATGAACCGGAAGTAAGCGAAATGCTGACTCAATGTCGCATTTTGCCAAAAAGGCGCCCCTGCCAAAGCTCCGCACCAACCGCACAGCTTGATCGAATGAAGAGTACTTCACCGTGCACATCTCTTGGGGAATTGCGTCATTAACCGAAGTTCCTTTGGGATAGGACAGGTTGTGTATCATTCTAAATTCACCGGGGGCCTTCTTTGGGACAATACCCAGCGGGGAGATATGAAGCCCCTCAATAGGCGGAGTTGTGAATGGACCAGCTACCCTGCCAGCTGTAATTTCCTTCTGTATCTTTTTAAGCGCGATGTCGGGTCTTTCTAACACTGATTTCTGGTTAGGTGGGCAACTGGAATTGGGTGTAAAAGCAATCGGAATTCTAAAACCTTCAGAAAACCCTTCCTCAAGTAGGTGAGCCGCACGTCTATTTGGATAGAACTTCAAGAGTGCTCTCAAGGGCTCCAATTTTATCGGAGAGCACGCGAGGCCTAGGGAGATGTTAGTATCGAGCCCCGGCTGGCCCTTGGGCGGGGGCTGCAGGTCCGGCGGAGCCACCCCTGTTTCCCCGGGAGAGGTGACCCCTGCCCCCCCCGAAAGGGCTGCTGCCTCCCTTTGAAGCAGTTGACCGCAGGGTGGCTGCCTAAGCACCTCTCGCATTCGTGTAGGTACTTACAGGTAACGCGCTGACAGGTACCCTTGTTGAAGTCCCAGCACTGTCTACGGCGCTGGGTCTCCACCTTACCAGCTTTTGGCTGTTGAGCGTTTTTCTTCTCGATATTGGGCCCCACATGTTCAAACCAGCAGTTGTTGTCCTTTTGGTCCCAGCGAGTTGAAGACAGCAGCGAGGCATTCCTCCGAAAGTCTTCATCATACGCCAAAGCGGCCTCATCACCTGCCTGCTCCCGTGCCCTCCTGACGTGAGCCAGGTAGGACACGAGATGCGCGCCCCTCTTAGGATAACAACTTGACACCACAGCCATAAACACTTGATAGCCATTAAGCCAGTTCTCAAAAGATCGCTCCACCCGGGGCACCCTGTACCTCCTTTTCCCATAGTACTTAATTTTCTCCCCTTTTCCCTTTACCTGGGCTGGGGGCAGCAGGGAAAACATATCCACGTAATTGCCATTCAATATCTTGTTCCTCTT